GCCGGGGCGGCGAGCCGGCGGGCGCGGGGTGCGTAGCCCCTCCGGGCAACCCCGCGTGCCCGGCGGCTCCGCGCCCGCGGGAAAGCAGGCAGCTGCCCGCCGCGGTCGGTCGGTCGGTCGCGTCCTGCCGGCGGCGCGGCGCCCCGCGCCCCCAGCCCTCGGCCGTCGCCACGGCGCCGCGCATGTTGCGCCGGCTGCGCCTCCCCTCCCCTTGGCCCCGCTGCCCGCTCGCCCCTCCGCCCGGCCTTACCGAAGTAGACCTCCTTCTGGCAGCGGGGGCACTTGGGCATGGTGCGGGCGCGGGTCGACCTGTCTCGAGGCGGGCGCGGCGCGGAGTGCGCGGGAGGCTGCGCGCGCCTGCGGGAAAAGCGCGCCTCGCCGGCCACGCCCGCTCGGCCTGGGGCGGAAGGCGGCCGGCCGCGCCCTCGGGCGCCGCTCCTGCTGCGCGGCGAGCGGCTCGGGCGTCCCAGCGCGGGCGGTCCCCGGGCCGGAGGCTGCCCGCTCCGGGCTTGGCACACGCGTCCCCCGCGTCGGGGGCCTGGCGGAGGCGCCGGGTCGGTCGAGGCCGCGAAGGGCCGCGTCGCCCCTGCTGGCGAGGCTCGCTCGGCTGGGCGCGGGCAGGGCCGCTTTTGGCACGGCCCCGTCCTTGGGGGCTTCGCCCGAGACCGGATCGCGAGCGCGACACGGTGCCCACGGAGCGCCGTCCTGCCCGCGGGGGGAAGCCTCGGCGGGGCTCGCTCCACCAGGGCTGGCCTGGGCGCGGGGGGACCTCGGAGGGCCCCCTGCCGGGGCCACACGCCTCGCTGGGTGGCTTTGGGCCAGGCGCGGCCTCTTGCACCCACGCTTCTGCGCAGGGTTGCTGCAGGGGCAAAAATGGGGAGACCTCCCACTCCTGAAGGACGGGGGCACACGGGGTCAAGTCCGACACATGCCGCTCATGGGTGTAGAGGGGCACGTTCCCGCCCCCAGTGGCCTGACCTGTAGGGAACTCACAACCAGGGAATGAGCTTCCCCGCCCCACTCCAGATGCCGTTCTGGGCAAGCACAGCTGCCTGGGAAGGAGGGAATGGCCCTAGGAGGCCAGGATGGGTTGTGCTGTTACACGGCTGTATAGAAGCATTTCCTAGCCTTAAGCTTCGTCACACCGTCTTGGATGCGCACCTCGACGCGCGATGAGTGGTCTTGGGGATGCCAGGAGGCACCAATGCTGCCAGGAGGCGAGCTCCTCGCAGGGTCACCTGAGGCGGGGCAGTGAAAGGGAGACACAGTCCCAGGTGCACCCTCCTCTTCGGTTGAGCAGCCACATCAGCAGAAGGGGGTGGATCTTGCTCATGGGGACGAGGGGAGCGGAACTGCCGAGGGGCAGCTGGTGGGCCGGGGCAGCAGGCAAGGCCCGCTGGCAGGCACCTTTCCTGGGCAACGGCCGCGATGCTCGAGCTGACCCTGCTCAGCACCGCTGGGAAGGCGGCAGAGGTAGACCAGCCCTGAATTCTCTTCCCTGGGAAGCCCCGTGCCAGACAAGAGGCAGCACCGGAGACTCTGGGTGGGAAGGCGCTCAGCGGGCTGCTGGGGAAGGGCCAAGGGCATGTACAAGTAGCGCTGTCACAAACGAGGCCACTAGATTAAGCCCGAAGGGACGTCTAACGGCTGCCACGCACAGAGGTGAACGCAGCTGGGAGGGGGAACATGAGGAGTGCGGACCAAGGCAAAGGAGAAGCCATAAAACAAGGGATGCAAAGAATGAATAGAGGCCGTAACACAAAATCTGGCCAAATGATATCGGTCAGAACTAGTGGGAAACCTTTAGCCATAACGACACGCCAGCAGCAGATGCTGAGGACGACCCTTCCCCCTCATGACCGCCCCCTCCGGGACGGCCTTCCCATGAGGGGTCCCCAGCGCGACAGCCTCTGCGCTTCCAGGCTTGCTCCCAGGGAAAGCTGCGCTGGATGCGCTCGAGGGAGGCTGCGAGGCTGCGCGCCGCGCCGCGCTCGAGCCGTCCCTTTTCTTCTGCCGGCTTTCCTCGCCTTCCATACCCTGCACTGTGGATACAGTAATGCGGATGATCTTGGCCTCGGGCTCCAGTGAGACGCCCTTGTCCTGGTGATCTTTCCTAGTGCTTCGTGTCTGACTCCCTTTAAATCAGTGCCATTAGTAAATATTTGCAGAGCCAGCTGCATCAGAGTAGGAGGGACCACCGGAGCGGGGCTGGGCTGCTGGAACCAGCAACGAAGAGGCGCGGGCCATTTGGAAGGCGGAGATTTGAAAGCGCGCTTTTCGACGACGCAGGTGGAGGCTGCCCGGCAGCGCCGCCAGTTGCCCCACACGCCGAGCTCCAGATGTCTGCCCGCGGAGCGCACGTCCGGGCACCGGCGAAGCAGCCCGCACAGCGCGGCTAGAGGGGTCCCGCCCTGCGCCTGGAAGGCGGCCCCCTTCTACCCGGTCCCCGCGGGCACCCCATGGGCCACCAGGGGGGCGCGACGCGTCAGCAGGGGGTGCGGACCGCCAGAGCCCTCCGACTCACGCGCGGCGCCATGAGCCGCTGGTGCGCCGTCGGGCTCGCGGAGCCCGGATCCGGGAGAGCCGTTGCTGCTGCGGCTGGCGGTGGCGCCGCCCTGGCGGAAGCCTGGGCGGGGCAGCAGCCGCTGTGCCCCGCCGGCCGCCCCCCGGGCAGCCCGGGCAGAGCTTGCCCCAGCCCGCCGCCGCATGCCGGCCTGCGAGCGAGCGCGGGTGGCTGCGCGCTGCGTTTCCCCGCCTTCGCTCTGCGGTTCCTACCTGTGGCCGCGGCGAAAGTCCCGCGCTAGCGCCACCTGCAGGCCGCGCGGGCCTCTGCGTCCAGGGGCGGGGGTGGCGGGCGGCCTTTGGCGCGGCCTCTCATGCGAGGCGAGACGATGTGCTGGCGGTGTCTCGACTGCTTTGGTCGCCACGACGGACGTGCCAAGGGCGGAGGTGGCCTGCGCTTGATAGGGGACCACTCATCCGGGCACCGCTCTGCCCAGCGATTGCCTGCAGGAGCGAGTGCAGCTCTGAATGCCTGGGAGCAAATCGGGGCAGAGCTTGCAGCCTGGCACCGGCAGCCGTGCAAGCCCCCCAGGCCCAGGCTGTCCCACCGCCTCCACCCTTGCCCACACATGGCAGCCAGGAGGGAGAAAGCGGGCAGCCTCTCTCCGGCCCGCGGGCTGCCCGCTGCCATGCTGCTGCAGTGCATGGCAGGAGAAGCGCCGTGGGAGAAGAGAGCGGCTTCTCGCCCCCCGGGCTGCCCGTCTGCCGCGCTCCTGTGGCCACTCCGTGGAGGCACATCGGCCGTCCGGGAGCTGGCCCACTCTGCGCTCACCGGGCAAGCCCCGGGGCCTCGCTGGACCCCTCCGCAGAGAATCCCACCCCTGCGTGACGCCCTTTGTGCGCGTGGAGGACTGTGGCAGGCAAGAGCTGGGTGGCCGGTGGGGGTGCGGAGCAAGAGCATCTTGTGCGGGCCTCTGCTTCCAGATCTCCCGGGGAGCGGAGGGCAACTACTGCCTGCTCTCGCACTGAGGAAGCTCAGCCGAAACCGGCCCACCTGTAAGCCACCAGTGCCGTCCTCGGGGCCGTGGGGCACAGGCAGCCCCCTCTTCCCGCAGCAGACTGCCAGGTGGGCCACGGGGCCCTGGAGGCAATTCCACCGCTAGCCGCCCGGCAGTCCCGGAAAGCCCCTCTGCGGGGAAACCCCACTGGGCCGCGGCTTTGTGACGCAACAAGCCACTGCGGTCTTCGTGCGAGCTGGTCTGCTGTGTGGCCCACACCCCGCCACGCACGATACTTCAGTGCAGCGTGCTTGGGTTTGGGGCCCCCCAGACAGAAAGGACAGTCCAGTGTTTGGCCGCTCAGCGCCACGGCTGGTTGCCGTGTCCTCCGAGCAGGAAAGCCTGACCCGCCGTGCAACCAAGCCTGGGCCTGCAGGGCTGCCTGGCCGCTCGCTGGCTGTGCCGCCTGGTCTCGCCTCCCCGCGTGACAGCACGAGGTGCCTTGCATGCTCGACGGCCCGGTGGCCGGGCAGGGAGCGGCTGTGGCGGTGGTGGCCGAAGGAGCTGGACTCGGTGGCCCCAGACGCCCCCTGGCTCCACTGGCTGATGATCCTAGGAGCCATGGCACTCTCGAGCTGGAAGGAGGTGCCAGGCGGGCGCGGCAGGGCCGGTCCCAGACCCAGGGCTCCTCAGCATGCACATTAACGATTTGGATGAGGAGGTGCTGGCATGCTTATCGGATCGTCACACACACAACTGGGTGGGGCAGCCAATGGCCTGGGACACAGAAACAACACTCAAAGTGGTCTTGGCAGCCTGGAGTGATGGGCTGAACGCGACAGAATAGCACCGGCGGGCAAATGCCAACTTCTGTGCCTCGGGAAGGGGGCCAAATGCACACTTGCAAGATGGGAGGTGCTTGACTCTCGGGATTGTTGCAGGGCAATGAATAAGAGCCACCAAGGTGATGTAGACGACCAGTGTGGCGCGGTGGGCGAGAGCACGGCACCGGGACTCAGGCGACCCGGGTCCTGGTCCCCGCTCGGCCCTGGAGCCAAATGGGTGACTCTGGGCCAGTCTCAGACTCTCAGCCCAGCCTACCTCACAGGGTTGTTGTGGGGATAAGACTGAGAGAAGCAGCAGGAGAATGATGTAAGCCACTTCGAGTTCTTTAAAAGAAAAAGTCATATAAGTCTGCTAAATGATAAATATATAAATAAAGGAAGGATATAAATCAATCAAATAAATAAAATACTAAATTAAGAATAAGTGTTATTTCCAAATCATGTGAGATACTAGTACCTGGCAAAAAGAAGAAAGCTGGGACACAAAGCTAATATAATAATAATAAATTGGAAAGATCACCTCCCATGTACAATGGGTTGTATTTCATTATTTAAAATAGGGGTCCTCAAACTTTTTCAGCGGGGCCAGTTGATAGGTGCTGGTGCTGTGTGTGGGCTGCCAAGGCAGTGCCGGTGGGGGGGGGCTGGTGAGGGGGGCGGGGGGCACATGCGCACCAAAGCAAGGCAGGGACGGGGGGTGCGCGGGGTGAGGCGCCGGCTTGCTTGCAAGGAGATCGTTTTCTCCGAGCGAGACCAAAATGATCTCCCCGCATGGAAGCTGTGCCCTCGTGCACACCTGCGCGCATGCCCAGCGAGTGCAAAACCTCTGGGGTGGGCCGGCTAAATGCGCATGGTGGGCCGGATCCAGCCTGCGGGTCTTAGTTTAAGGACCCATGATTTAAAACATTTCTATCCCGTCCTTTGTGGAGCCTCAGGACGGCCTGCAACAGTTAAGACCTTAATGCTCTCAGTATATAAACAGATGGCATATCCATTCCATCTTCAAATGAATACTTAACTGGATA